GCTGGGGCCGCTCGGAGTGGGAGACTCATCCGAGGCGGTCCTGGCGAAGACCTCGCTGCTCTCGGAGGACGAGGGACTCCGCAGTTCGTGGGGGGAGGCTGGGTTCTTGGGGCCTGGCCGGGCGGGGAGACGGGAGCCCCCGAGCGGAGAAGTTGCCTGGTTGGAAGAGTTTCCTCCCCGACGTGCGGGCTGTTTCCCAGTGCCTCGGTTTCCGAAAAGACGCCCGCAAGGAACAGAGTTGGTATTGTCTGCGGAGGACGAGACGCCGGCCGATCCGGGCCGGGGGAGGGGGTGCTGATCCAGTGGAGACCCCAAGAAGAGAAACAGGCTCTTAACAAAGATCCCCCACCCCCAACCAGAAACTGTGCAGGCTTGGCACCGGCAATCAGGGTCTCCCGAGACCCTCGAGGCCCGACCCCTCCTCACCCCGGCCCTCTTCGAAACCCTCCTTGCCCCTGGATAAGTTGGGGGACGGCGGGGGTTTATTGATTTGTTTTTAAGGCTCGCCGCGGGGACGGCGGGCTTTTATTGATTTGTTTTTAAGGCTCGCCGCGGTGTGGCCAATAAAAGGTTTATGACATCTGACCGGCAGTGAAGGTATGCGAGCTCCCAATTGCCCCGTATACTCGGAGAAGAGCAGTTTCCCCCGTTGCCGGGCAACGCCGCTGATTGACGCCGGGCGCAGCCAATCGCCGCTCCCGCAGATCCCCTTGAAATGTTTTTGACAAGTACAGTAGACGGGAGTGGAGCGCGTGCGTGCGCGCGCGCGCGCGCGGTGTGTGTGTGTTGGGGGGGGTGCCTGATGCCCAAAACTCGCGACTGCCCAGCTCTGCTTGGGGAGGATTTCTCAACTTTTTAAAGTTCACATGGAACATCTGTTCAGAGCTGGGCCAGTAATGTCTTTGTCAGTTATTTGGAGATCTGATACAAGGCAAGAAACGAAGCTTTTCTAGTGCATTTTTGCCGTTAAAAAGAAAAAAAATGGATCAAAACACACAAGTCATAAAAAAAACCACAGGGTGTGTGTGTGTAAGGAACGTAACCAATAACAAACCGAGGAGTTGTAAGGAGGTCACCAGTGAATATTTGCGTATCTGGTGGAACAACCTCATTGGCAGAAGATTAAAAATGTTTGCTTAACGGCAGACTCACATGATCCAGATTTTTTTTTTATCCTCCTCTAAAATAGGAGGAAAAAAGATTTGGTGAATTATGTAGTTAGAGTATACTAATGGAAAACTCCTCAGCTATGGTTTCTGGGAACTGGTTTTTTTTTTTTCAGATGGAACTGTAGTGATCAGCAGCTCTTCATATTGTTGCTATAAAACGTGGGATTTATAGGGATGCATTTAACAGTTGGGCAGCATGAGAGGGGGGTTGACACCGAAAGTGGACTAATGATTTGAGAGTACAGAACTCCCGTATTTCTTGACAATGCCATTTTTCAGATAAAACCACATTGCTGGTAGTGTTTGTTTAAAACAAAAGGAAAACATGGAGAATAGCGTGTTAGTTCCTTTGGGAAGCCACTGACAAATAAGCAAATTAAAAAGAAAGAGAGCAGCATGTTGTCATAGCAACAGTGCAATTAAATTACTTTACTGTCAGCCATGATATAATTTTCCTGTTTGGAAGATCAGGAGACATAAAACTTTCATTTGGAGCTAAAGTTGACTTCAGTGGTTGGGTGGTTCTCTTTCATACTCCACTATGCTGGTCTATGGGTAAATCAGAAATGTTTCTGATAGGGCCCAAGGACACTTTAAAGGACAAGCCTAGCTTTGATTTGTTCCTGAAGAAACTAAAAGGCCATCAGGCCATCCTCTGTTATATCCCCAAAACTGGAGATACTAGTTTAATTTTTTTTTTCTTTAAACTGTGTTGTGGTCCAGCCTCTTTGACCGAAAGAAATATTCCTTGTTGATGAAACCAAGGCATCTGGACTGTCCTGCCTGGATTAGACTGGAAGTTTCTCTCCCTAGAGCTGGGCATCTAGAGAGTTTTCCTGCAGGCCTGCAGTCCAGCAGATTTAATTTTCCTGTCTTTTGAAAGAAGGAATGTGCTTCTGTTCACTGATATCCTTGGCTCATTCCAGGGCTTCCCCAGCTGAAGCAGTTATTTCACACATGGAGTTGATGGACATTGGGAGACTTAGATCATCATGTCTTTACTTTTGAAGTGTTCATTCTCTTTTCTAGGTAGACTGCTTGATCTCACTCCGCAGGCAAAACCTTAAAAACAGACTCTTCTTAAACCAAGCGCGTTGTCTAGCTCTTCAGATGGGGAGTGGGAGACCTTTTCACTATCTTTACCATTTCTTCTTTCTCACGTTGAATGCTAGAAGGCTTTACAGGCTTTGTATCGGTCGGGATTATTCTGTTTGTGGACTTGCCACATTTTCTTCCTCATTTTCTTTTTTCATCAGTTATTATTTTACTCTCTGTTCTAGGTCATTGATAAAAGTAGGGATAGTAGCAGGCGAAGGGGGACAGAATTCTGTAGCAATTTCTGTTACATTTGCCTTCCTGTCGCAAAGTTCACAGTTACTCTCCTGATTATTTTGCCAGTTGTAATTTCAGTTACCGGCTAACGTATGTTCCCACTGACTTGTGTGATATCTAAAGTGACTGTGTGTAGTGTCCCAATAAAATGAATGCACTTCTTTCCC